TATGCAAGCAGCGGTTCGGTCCCAGTAAGCCACGGGTCAAGCCAAAAATGTGCTTGTAGCCCATTCCCAACTCGCCACCGCAGCCCTCGTACCACGTCGGCCAGGCCTGGCTAACCGCTCGAATCAAGGGGGAACCTCGCAGCCAACGATGTCGCCCCAGCCGAGCCAAAGAGTTTAGTTTATATTTTGCCTTAAGGACCCCTACCCACAAAGAATCTGGGGATTTGAGTAGGCCCCAACCCAGCTTCATGATGAAAGCCTTATACATACCACGAATCTCCGTAAGTCTGCAAGCATCCTTGTCTCTGCTTACTATTGATGAATGAAGAAATCCCTATCGAGCCTAAGGCCTCTCGGGACTGGTTGTGCTTGGTTCTAGCAGGTCCTCGTCCTTTGGTGCTGTCACATGACTCATCCGATCGGGACCCGGATTCTCATTCGTAGCAACCAAGCAAGAAAATGGTTGGTTGATCAAACAAAAAAATGATTGAGACTCTTCATCGAAGAAGGTCACAGAGACCACCCTCGTCTTTGGGCTTACACACATCGTTCCACGCGACCAAGTGGATGCTTCGTCGTTCTACAGTAGCGCCCCATATAAACGCCTGACTACGTTTCTCAAAACATCAAGAACGACACACGAGATCGAGGCAGTCTGCATTGAGTAGAGTGGGAGTGTACTGAGAACAGATTGGGTGAGTGTCACCCTCCCAGCCATCGACAACTCACGCCCACGCCAACCAGCAAGACGGGCCTCCGCTGTGTCCACTAAACGAGAGTAGGTTCTCGTGGTCACACGCCCATGGATGATGGGCATACCAAGGTATTTGCCTAGATTGTCTGTCACTCGGAAGTTGAGCACCCCCGCCAGCCTTTGTCCATCATGCGACAATACATTGTGGAAAGAAAACCTGAGTTTTTTCCGGACTCACCTTAAGGCCCGAGGAGGGGCAGAATTGCGCCAACACCTGTTGTAGAGAAGTGCTTGAGTATCCGAAGCCTCAAGAAACAACAACAAATCATCAGCAAACATCAGATAGGGCACTTTAACAGCCCCATGCCCAACGGAAATAGGCCGCCAGACCAGCTGATCGACCAACAAGCTAATTTGCTGGGCCAACCTCTCCATGCAAAGAACAAAGAGATACGTAGAAATGGGTTCCCCTTGTCGCACCCCTCTGGTGGGCTGGAACTCCTCGCCTATGGTACCATTCTACATCAAACGCATCGAAGCCGACCGGAGGCTAGCCATAATCGCCGATACAAGCTTGGTCGGATAGCCTGCGAGGCGTAAGGACTCATCAATGAACTCCTATCTCAGATAGTCGTAAGCCTTCTCGAGATCCACCTTTATAACCATAAAGCCCGTAGAACCCCTCATTCCCCGCATGGAGTGAATCAGTTCCTATGCCACAATGATATTGTCCGTAATATGGCATCCCGGAACAAAACTCGTCTGCGCGGGGTGGATTAATCCAGGCAAGGTACACCTTCATCCGGTTCACCAGGACCTTGGTAAATAATTTATGGATCACATTCAGCAGGCTGATGGCCCAGAACTGGCGAATCGTAGTAGGATTCTCAGTCTTGGGTATCAGGACAAGCAATGTTTGATTCACACTGCCCGGTACCGCTCCCTCATGCCACATTTGCCGTAAGAAATTTTTGACCGAGGGGCCAACTATTTCCCAATTCTGCTTATAGAAGAGCGCGTTAAGCCCATCCAATCTCGGCGCTTTGAGAGACCCCATGTTGTTCAAGGCAACCGAAATCTCTTCTTCGGTGAAGTTGCGCTCCAACGCTCGCATGGCAGTCGCATCAGAAGGGGGGAAAAGGTTGATGACTGGCCCAGTCTGTACTGGCGCCAACCCCGCAGAATAAATATTCGTAAAAAACTCAGTCGTCAAGTTCTAAAGGGCCTCTTGGTCTGTAACCAAAACTCCGGCATCATCGGTGAGTTCCGATGGCGACGATGCTTAAGTTGCCGATGGTAATAAGAGATGTTTCTGTCCCCCAAATAGGCCCAATCCCTTGTGGCTTTTTGGAGTAGTTGTAATTCTTCCCGCACAACAACCTCCTCCAGTTCCTTTCGAAGTTGGGCCTCAAGAGTCACTAATCGGTTATTGACGTAAAAACGGCGGCACCGCTGGATACCACCCAATCGGGCCAACAACCGCTTTTTCTGCTGAAAAATATTTTCGAAAACTCGAATGTTCCAATCCAGAGCTACAGTCACGAAGTTCCTGGCCGCTTCGACGAAGCCAAGGGACGAGCACCAAGAGTTCTGTAGCATCTCCGAGAAAGTCGGGTGTAGTAACCAAGCTGCCAAGAAACGGAAAGGCTTACGCCCTGGCGAAGGACTCCACCGCTCACCTAGCCGCACCATGAGGGGCGAGTGGTCGGACCCAAACGGGGCAAAAGTCGAACACGACTCACCTCGTACTTCTCCATCCACCCCGTGTTAGCGACAAACCGTTCAAGTTTCTCCGCTACGCGGCCCTGTTGGCTATCGCGGACCCATGTGAAACTATGTCCATCTGTAGTGACCTCATGAAGACTATTGTGGAAAATCCACTCAGAAAATTCGCGGCTGATGTTGCAATGAGTACTAGCCCCTCCCACTTTCTCATCTCGTCGTAGAAGGCAATTGAAATCTCCTCAATAAGCCACGGGCCCTCCACCCGTTGCCCCAACTCCCCCAAACTAGCCCACAAGTGCTTTCGACCCAAGGCTCGCGGACTAGCATACACAAATGTCACTAAGCAGGAATCGGTCGGGCCAACAATGCGGGTGTGAACCATCTGCCTGGTGTAACACAGGATGTCGACTTGTACCTCATCCGTCCACAAGAGCCATATCCCTCCAGAGAAACCGCGAGCCTCCACACGGAACGAGTTCTCAAATTTACTGTACCTCACAAATTTGTCAGCGTGCGCCCCGCTAATACGTGGTTCAAAGAGCGCACAAACCTGCGGTTGATACTGGCGAACTAACGTGAAGAAGGAACCCCGAAAACCAGGCGAACCTGCTCCTTGAACATTCCATGTAATAATATTCACTGGGAAACCAAAGAGAGGGAAGAGGGACCATAACCGTTGGATCATCTATTTTAACTAACTACACATGGACACAACGGTTAAAACACCCGACGATATGGTACCATAACAGAACCACAACATTTCCGAAAATTTTAATGCATTAAGAACCAAATGACAATTCCATAACACCAAATATTTTTATTAGGCTGAAAATCATATATATTTTGTTGTCTAAAAAAAGATATTTAAATATTTATACATTCAAATATCATATTATAAAATAAAACATGACATTTTATTGGCAAACATACATTTTCATAATAAAAATAGACTGTTCTAAGTTAATAAGAATCGAGGGAAAAATATTTTTTTGTTTCAGTTAAATTTGCACAAACTGCTAAAAAGGTAGTCAAATTTAATAATAACGCACGCATAATGTAAGTTATAGAAGTAAAATGGATGCCATGTATGTAGTGCTGTTAAATTAAACTAGTCTGGCTCGGCTCGGCTCGAGCTCAGCTCGTTAAGGCTCGGTTCGGTTCGAGTTCGAAGCCTTAACGAGCCAAGCTCGAGCTCATTTAAAGCTCGTTTGGTTAATGAGTCGATCGAGCTCGGTCGGCTCGTTAAGGCTCGAAAAGTGAAATTTATGTAATTTTTTATAGTTCGGCTCGTTAAAGCTCGAGATGAGCTTGTTAAGGCTCAAGCTCAATTTTTGGCTCGTTAAGAGCTCGAGCTCGAGCTCAAACACCTTAAGCTCGAGCTCGGCTCGTTTACAGCTCTACATGTATGTGATAGAGTTTTTGTAGTATAAGGGTTTTTGGCGAATGCTTTGTACACTTGAGAAGATATGCAAGGGATTGTGGCGAATAACATGTCTAGGAATTAAACTAATTTTGTACTTAATTTTTTGTTAATAGTTGGGTTTTTACAAACGTTTTTCGTTTGATTTTCCTTATGTGGCATTAAACTGAATCCATTTTGTTATTTATCATGGATATTGGCTTTTAGTTAGGGTGGATTTACTATTTATTGTACATGTGCAGTGATAATACAAGAAATTCTATTCACTACTACTAGAAATTAGAGATTCAAAAACGAAAATTATTGTTGCTTAAGGGTCATTTTATTTTACTAATATACAACTAGAACAAATAAATTGCATTTCATAATTGGTTAGTGAAAAAAGAGTGGCTAATACTCAGAAACAGAAAATTGTTTGTTACTGTTTGCAACGACTCTTGCAACAAACAAAATCGTTTCTGATAGTAGAGTAGTAGTGATCAAATCTGTAATTGATATATTTGTTTCTAATAGTAGAGTAGTAACTGGTATATTTGAACCGTGTTTCTGTAAATAAAATAATACAACATGAGTTGAAAATAATTCTTAGGGCATCCACATCCCTTAACATTCATTCAACTACAATTTACACAATCTCTCATCCGGTCATCCCCATCATCTCCACATCTCTTTTCACTAAGAGGATGATTGGATATAAAAATTTTTGGTTTTATTTGGATTTTTTTGTTTAGTTTGGTTAGTTTTAAAAAAGTTGGTATGGTTAGTTGTTAGTGGATATATTAAAACAATATTTAAAATTAAATGATTAAAGTTGATTTGATGTAAAGTAAGAGAGAGGAGATTTGAAGTGATGGTTAGTTAAAATTATGTGAGTAGATGAATAGTGAATTAAGGTGATGTGGTGTGTAAGAATGATTGATTTGATATTATTTAATTATATTGATAATATTGATGATAGTAGGGTTGAGTTAAAGTTGAGTTAAAAAAGTGGTTGAGTTAAAAATGGTTGGATTTTTTGAGATAATTTTGTATCCAAGCATGCTCTAAATATCTCTCAATTTAAACACACACCCGCATTCAATCATTCATTTAAACACAAACATATGAGACCTATTACCCACTCATTCAAAACCATTTTTATATTTTATTCTTAATAAAAATAAATGTATTTTTTAATTAGAATATTTAATTTTAAATTTTAAAATGCACTAAATATTATTAGATTTAAAAAACATAAATTAAGATTAAAAAATACTAATTGAAAAACTAAAACAAAAAAAAAATAATTAAATAATTAATTGAAAACAAAACAAAACCAAAATAAACAAATCAATTGAAAATAAAAAAATAAAATAAAATAAAAAAAGACACCAAAGAGTTCAAACATATAATAAAATATGATTTAAAACCAGTGTTCTAGAAGTCGCTAGGCGCTCGCTAGGCGCCCGACCAGCGCCTAGCGCCTAGAGTGCCTAGTCGGGGCCTAGGCGGGGTCTAGAAATTATAATAAATATATTATTTTTATTTATTTTTACAATTTCACTAATGAAATTATAACTTATAATTAATAAATAAAGACACCTAAATCCCAATAATATTATTAAT